AGGTTCTCTCTCTCTCTCTCTCTCTCTCTCTCTCTCTCTCTCTCTCTCTCTCTCTCTCTCTCTCTCGCTCGCTCTCGCTCTCGCTCTCGCTCTCTCTCTCTCAATACAGAGGAAGTGAATGCTGACTGACACCGTCTAGCATCTTCTTTTCTGTTCCACAGAAAAGCGTCATGCTTGATTCAAGAGATGTGAAACTTACTGTTAGTGAGAGAATTTAAACTGCATTCAGGTCTGGCATGACCTAAAATTATTACAGATGGTTTAAAACCAACCATGGAGTCTTTCGTTTCCTTTGAGGTTGCAGGTCGCATTCTCAGTCTTGGTTGAGCCAATGCACCGACATGGTCTTTGCAACAAGCCGTGGTGCTTTAAAGATGTCAGATCTCCAATAATGCATGTCAAAAGGGTTGATGAGAAAGCAATCACGTCTCTCACCGCCGTCTGTCACATTGTCAACAGTCTGGGTCCAGAAAGACAAAAAGCTGTAAACGTGTGAAATGATCTGCGATAACTGCCAATTTATACCCCTTCCTACGTCCTCGAGTCAAGCTGTATGGTCTGTTGCAGAATTACATTTCAATGTCTGTTTCATTCAAAATTACTATGCGACCAAGCTTATAGCTTAAATGTGAATTACAACTGTCTGTAATTCAAAATTCGGGTGCCATTTGAGTTCTAATTTGCATGTATTTGCTATTAGAGCACATTGATCGTCATTGTATTAATGGGATTTCATGCCCAGTCTCTGTGTTGTCCCTTAATTTAAACAGAGTAGAGATTGATTTTGAAGAGCCCAAGGGGTGCAGAACTGTCAGTGACACTAAATGCGCTCTCCCACCCCCCACTCGCATCGTGATATGATGTCTGGAGGCTGCTTGTGTCACACTGCCATTGCTGTCAAACAGCAGCATTTCATATTTCTGACAAATTGATAACAGTGCAAACCCCATGGCTTGTGTCAATCACACTGTATCCATCCGTAGCAGCACATGGCTTTCTGTAGAACCACAGAAACGATCATCAGATTCTAGAAGAACCAAACACGACAAGCTGGCGTTCTCTAATTAATGCACTTCTTGTGATATCTGAATGTTTTTGCTTTCGAAACGTTCCTTGTTGCAGGCCAGTCAGTATTGCAATCTTGTAATATGCAGATTACGCCACAGAGATTTGCAGATAAACCCATACAGATTAAGGAATGGAAGGATTACAAATAGTAAAAGGGGAAAACATGAATTGCAACAGCAGATTCAATTGCAGTTCAAGATTCATGGGTTATTTTGGTCAATTTGAGATCAATCGGTGCTGAACGTTTGCCTTTCTCGAGAGAGTTGTGGTCAGTGGTGCCATTTGTGAATGGGCTTCTATTGTCTATCATGGAAGTCACATCAACAGTTCACACCTGCTGCTAATCTTTGCTCATGCAAATAGACCTGATGGGTTGTCATTGTTTTGAGGTGTCGGAGAGGGCTTGGCTTTTGCTAGATCACCTTCCCCAACCTGTTATTTGTTATTAGTCAAAAAGTCACATCTGTGTGGTTGCATGTAAGGTTGTTTTATCAATCGAGTATTGACACTTTCTCAACCCTTTTTCAGATCTGCAGAATGTCTAAACGTCGTGCTTCGGACCGAGGGGCCGGAGAGACTTCCGGCAGACCCAGCAAGCTCCTTTGTCCTGGGATATCTGGCAACAATGCTAAAAGAGCCGGTCCCTTTGTTTTAGGTAAGCTGCCTAGGGTAATACAAGTGAACCATCAACACTAGCCCTATGTTTTTGTGTTTCAATGCAGGCGAGAGGTGGAGGAGGTATAGGCTCCGTTCTGAGGTTTGAAAAGAATTGCAGGAATGTTTTAGATTGACAGCTTCACTTCTGAATCTGCAGGTCTTTGCCTGTATGCCACTATCACACTGCCATCTTGTCTTTGAAATGCATCTGTCACAGTTGGAAATAGCAGTGTGACGTGGTAGTGCAGGGTCCGGTGATAAGAGCATTTATGATTTGCCTCAAGGGGAATTGCTGTGCTCTGTACGGAGTACACCTTTTGCATCTGTTCACACATCTTTTCTTTATTCCTCCCCATCTCAACAGGCCCACGGCTGGGAAACTCTCCTGTGCAGAGTATAGTGCAGTGTCTAGCCAGAAAAGATGGGACAGATGATTTCTACCAGCTAAAAGTGAGTACTTTTTTAGGCCTTGTTTACACGGGTGTTAACATCTTGGGGGAGCACAATTTCATATCAATGGTCTCTCTCTCTCTCTCTCTCTCTCTCTCTCTCTCTCTCTCTCTCTCTCTCTCTCTCTCGCTCGCTCTCGCTCTCGCTCTCGCTCTCTCTCTCTCAATACAGAGGAAGTGAATGCTGACTGACACCGTCTAGCATCTTCTTTTCTGTTCCACAGAAAAGCGTCATGCTTGATTCAAGAGATGTGAAACTTACTGTTAGTGAGAGAATTTAAACTGCATTCAGGTCTGGCATGACCTAAAATTATTACAGATGGTTTAAAACCAACCATGGAGTCTTTCGTTTCCTTTGAGGTTGCAGGTCGCATTCTCAGTCTTGGTTGAGCCAATGCACCGACATGGTCTTTGCAACAAGCCGTGGTGCTTTAAAGATGTCAGATCTCCAATAATGCATGTCAAAAGGGTTGATGAGAAAGCAATCACGTCTCTCACCGCCGTCTGTCACATTGTCAACAGTCTGGGTCCAGAAAGACAAAAAGCTGTAAACGTGTGAAATGATCTGCGATAACTGCCAATTTATACCCCTTCCTACGTCCTCGAGTCAAGCTGTATGGTCTGTTGCAGAATTACATTTCAATGTCTGTTTCATTCAAAATTACTATGCGACCAAGCTTATAGCTTAAATGTGAATTACAACTGTCTGTAATTCAAAATTCGGGTGCCATTTGAGTTCTAATTTGCATGTATTTGCTATTAGAGCACATTGATCGTCATTGTATTAATGGGATTTCATGCCCAGTCTCTGTGTTGTCCCTTAATTTAAACAGAGTAGAGATTGATTTTGAAGAGCCCAAGGGGTGCAGAACTGTCAGTGACACTAAATGCGCTCTCCCACCCCCCACTCGCATCGTGATATGATGTCTGGAGGCTGCTTGTGTCACACTGCCATTGCTGTCAAACAGCAGCATTTCATATTTCTGACAAATTGATAACAGTGCAAACCCCATGGCTTGTGTCAATCACACTGTATCCATCCGTAGCAGCACATGGCTTTCTGTAGAACCACAGAAACGATCATCAGATTCTAGAAGAACCAAACACGACAAGCTGGCGTTCTCTAATTAATGCACTTCTTGTGATATCTGAATGTTTTTGCTTTCGAAGCGTTCCTTGTTGCAGGCCAGTCAGTATTGCAATCTTGTAATATGCAGATTACGCCACAGAGATTTGCAGATAAACCCATACAGATTAAGGAATGGAAGGATTACAAATAGTAAAAGGGGAAAACATGAATTGCAACAGCAGATTCAATTGCAGTTCAAGATTCATGGGTTATTTTGGTCAATTTGAGATCAATCGGTGCTGAACGTTTGCCTTTCTCGAGAGAGTTGTGGTCAGTGGTGCCATTTGTGAATGGGCTTCTATTGTCTATCATGGAAGTCACATCAACAGTTCACACCTGCTGCTAATCTTTGCTCATGCAAATAGACCTGATGGGTTGTCATTCATACAGGGGCAGAGGTGTTAATGGCGCCTGACTGTTTTGAGGTGTCGGAAAGGGCTTGGCTTTTGCTAGATCACCTTCCCCAACCTGTTATTTGTTATTAGTCAAAAAGTCACATCTGTGTGGTTGCATGTAAGGTTGTTTTATCAATCGAGTATTGACACTTTCTCAACCCTTTTTCAGATCTGCAGAATGTCTAAACGTCGTGCTTCGGACCGAGGGGCCGGAGAGACTTCCGGCAGACCCAGCAAGCTCCTTTGTCCTGGGATATCTGGCAACAATGCTAAAAGAGCCGGTCCCTTTGTTTTAGGTAAGCTGCCTAGGGTAATACAAGTGAACCATCAACACTAGCCCTATGTTTTTGTGTTTCAATGCAGGCGAGAGGTGGAGGAGGTATAGGCTCCGTTCTGAGGTTTGAAAAGAATTGCAGGAATGTTTTAGATTGACAGCTTCACTTCTGAATCTGCAGGTCTTTGCCTGTATGCCACTATCACACTGCCATCTTGTCTTTGAAATGCATCTGTCACAGTTGGAAATAGCAGTGTGACGTGGTAGTGCAGGGTCCGGTGATAAGAGCATTTATGATTTGCCTCAAGGGGAATTGCTGTGCTCTGTACGGAGTACACCTTTTGCATCTGTTCACACATCTTTTCTTTATTCCTCCCCATCTCAACAGGCCCACGGCTGGGAAACTCTCCTGTGCAGAGTATAGTGCAGTGTCTAGCCAGAAAAGATGGGACAGATGATTTCTACCAGCTAAAAGTGAGTACTTTTTTAGGCCTTGTTTACACGGGTGTTAACATCTTGGGGGAGCACAAGTGGTGAGGCGAGACAGATCACCATTTATATCTGACCCCAAATTCATGTCCTGTGACACTTTGTGATCAGATTGCATGGGGGGGGGGGTTATGTTAGATTATACTATCATAAAACTTTGAAGCTGATTCAGTTATTAAAAGTTCAAAAGTCTTTTTTTTATCTTTTCCTTTTCTTATTCTCACCAAGGCTGCATTTATTTGATCAAAAATACAGTAAAAAACTATTATTAGTATAACATTTTTTACAATTGTTATTCCAATAACTGTTTTCTGTTTATATATATATATATATATATATATATATATCTATATATCAGGATTCTTTTGATGAATAGAAAATTCAAAAGAACAGCGTTTTTATGCATTTTATTAAAAATGTTCTATAAATATAATGACAAGTTGATGTTTATTCAGTAGCTGCTATAATGAATTCAGTGAAGCATCAGTCAGACTTCTTTTTGAAGATCTTAATTAATTGGGGGGAAAAAAACTTTTTGTCCCTGTTTACATCTTTATTGGGTATTGGATTAGCCAAAGTGGCTTTTTAAACCAGATGTGAGGTGATACAGAAAGACAGTTTACAAAACCCCTCCCATGTGATTCAAACATGTCCTGACCAGGGAAGTGAGACTGCTTCTGAACACAAAAGCCCCTGTGTGTCTCACTGTTTGCATGAACCTTTGACCTGCCTCAACAAATCTCCACAATACTGTCCAATTCATGACCAACTCTGGTTCAGAGATGACCATCAGACCTCTTTGTTTATGGACCAGCCTGTTACTGGAGGGGCTTGAAAGAAAGGTGCTTGTCAACCTGGAGTCTAACCTTTTAACCCCATTCTTCCATGTCTAGTGTCCCTCGGATGGTTGTCCAGATGTGTTGAAGGACATGTGAGGGACTTATCTTTGTCCCCTCTGTAGATAAAGCCTTTAATGGACCCTCTGTATTGGCTCAAGATCATTGATAGCTTAGTATGCCATCACAGTGAAGATAAGAGACTCCCAGGATCTAGTGGTGTGGTGTCTTCTTACCTTCGACCTTTGTTGTAGATTCTCACCCTGGAAGAACGTGGGGACACAGCAGGAGAGACACAGGAAGAAAGGCAAGGGAAAATGCTTCTGCATACAGAGTATTCTTTATTGTCACTGCTCTCAAACCAAGAAGGAGTGGTGCACCATCACGGCCTCTTCCAGGTAAGACCAATAATGAATAGCTTATGTGTACAATGTTTCATTACAGTTGGTTAATGTCAGTCACAATGCTTTAATTGGAATTGTTTGGCACCCTGTACATCATTGATGCATCATGATTCTTTCTCAAATGGTTCTGGTTTGAGCCACACAAATTCATAATATTTATTAATTATTAATAATTATGGAAATAAAAACACAATTCTCCACTACACATTTACACAGGACAGTGTCACGCAATTGAAAACAGATCATTCATGCACTGAAACTGTGTAAATTAACAAATGACAAAGTTAAGGTAGTTAAATGAATAGTTCACCCAGAAATAAAAATGCTCTCATTTAATCACCCTCAAGTTGTTTTAAACCTCTGTGAATTTTTTTCTTCTGCTGAATAAAATAAAGATATTTTGAAGAATGTGTGTAACCTAAAAGTTGATGGTCCCTATTGGCTTCCATAGTATTTTTTTCCTATGCTATGGAAGTCATTTGGTTCCATCAACTGTTTGGTTACACACATTCTTCAAAATATATATATTTTTTGCATTCAGCAGAAGAAAGATACAGGTTTAAAACAGCGTGAGGATAAGTAAATGATTACATTTTTTTTTTTGGGGGGGTGAACTATTCCTAAAGTTTCTGTCTAACACAGCATTTTATTTTTTACATCTAGGTTATTATAGCTATTATTTTTTATTTTTTTTTCATTAGCAGATCAGAGTGCACATCTGTGCACAATCCACCTTAACTCATCAAAGATTTGCGTCTTTCAAAATTGAAATGCCCTATTGACTTGTTTTGGAATCTGGCTGTGCCTCATTGAATCAAAATGGAATCGATTTGTGAGATTCCTAAAGATTCTCTCCCGTACTGTACATTCTCAGTCCCACAACTTAATTTGTTCTATTATTGTTCCTTCAATTGTTTTCATTTTCATCTCAAAGTGCTTGCAGTGACTCACCACTTACTTTCTCTTCGAGCAAGGCGCTTTCTTTTTTTTTTCTCTCTCGCAGTTTTTCAACCTCTCCTTTCTTTCCCGGTGGAAATCGGCTCCAGAACAAGCTGTACTGTGCTGTCAGGGCCATTCATTGAAGCTCGCAGTATTGATTGGCTTATTATAGCTTCTCTTTAGAGTGGGCCAGTTAATTATGGATTGCCTCTTGTGTTCAAAGGCGCAGTCATTGCAAACACAAACCACACTGCCGATCGATTCATGGCCCTCTTTTGACCCCAGTCTCAGGTGACTTTAGGAGGGCTTTCATCATTCAATCTGTTGCACATAGCGAGGCATACAGGAGAATTGCTGCTGTGCTTTTTGTACCACCAGTCCATTAGCATCATCTTGTTCTTTAAACCCTGTATTTTCTTCCTTCGCTCCATTCAAAAGCTTAATGGTGCAGTTATGTGTTCGTTTGCTTTGTTACACATTGTTAAATGCACTGCTGGGTTGTCTGAGGTAAAGTATTTTATGCTGTCCCTTTATTCTCTGTGCAAATTATTCTGTGCACAAAACTTTTCTAATCCATTATCTCTTCCACTCCATGTCAGGACCGCTCCTGTGAGATTGTCGAGGACATGGAGGCCAACAAAGTGCGGAAGATGAAGAGACGAATCTGTCTGGTGCTTGACTGCCTCTGTGCCCACGACTTCAGTGACAAGACTGCCGACCTCATCAACCTGCAGCATTACGTCATCAAAGAGAAGCGACTGAGCGAACGCGAGGCCATCGTTATTTTCTATGATGTGGTGAGAGTGGTGGAGGCATTGCATAAGGTGAGCTGCCAACTGCTTTTAAAGTCAATTTGAAATCCAAATTGTCTATATTTCTTGACAACTTTCTTAATGGCGCTAAAAATGCCATGGTCAGGAGTTTGTTTTCCAAGGAATGCAGGAACTGATAAAATATCAACTAGTAATTTTCTAAGTTTCTAGTAATTTTATGTTTTTGTCTTTTTTTTCAATATTTCTGTATAGATTTATTTCACTTTTATTTCAGGTTTGGTTTTACTAATTTTAGTACTTCAACTTAAATGTTTATTTCAGTTAGTTGCCATGGCAACATTTTCTAATTTTCATTTGTTTTTCATGTAATATTTGTTTTATTTCAGCTTTATTTCAATCACCAAAAACATTTTTAGTATTTAAATTAGTACTTGAATGTAATATCAGTCACTTTGGATTAATTTTTACATTGTTTTATTTAATTTTTGGCTGATTGCTACCAAACTCCTTCACTTCCAACTACCTGCTGTGGTTTCCCCTTGATAAAATGAAGTCATGCTATTTTTTTCTAATTGAATATTTTGCTTTATTTGGAAGTTTGTCATATTCCAGAAGTAACATGGTTGCACATGACATTTTATGTTTACTGTGTGATTCATACTCTCGAAAGTGTAGCCCATATCTTTAGGTAAATATAGTAACTGTTTTTGCCTTTGTAGAAGAACATCGTGCATAGAGACTTGAAGCTTGGAAACATGGTGCTTAATAAACGGTAAGACTTCTCTCTTATTTTTTATTTTGCCTGCTGTGCTGGTGGAGTTTTCTATGCGCTCAGCCCTCTGTTGGGGTTTCATGGAGCACCGTCTGGCCTCATTGACCTCTCTCCTCTTGAGCTCTTAGTGAGAGTGTGACAGGCTGAAAAGGGAGGGGGAGGGAGCAGTGGGAAGCTATCCCAGTTAAAATGAGTAGGCATGGAACGTGCCCCGGTTTCATTCCCTGGAAAAAAGGAGAGAGTGGTGGAGCCAGGGAATGGGGGTGGGGGTGGGTGAAGGCATCTGAGTTCGGCAAGCATTGTGAATCGGATAGGCCTAGTGGAATTCCCAATCCCTCATCCATAAAGACCCTTCTCCAAACACCATATGTGCCGCGTGTGTTTTCTGCTGTGTGTGGAACGAGTACGCTTCTAACCACAGTTCTGTTGTCTCTGCCATTTCAAATGTCCTCAGGAACGAGAGACTCACAGACTCTCAGTTCTGCCTGTCACATTTGCCAGCATGTGCTGCCGAGTTCTCGCATATTGTAGTTCGGTCACATAAGTGCACAGCTTGTCTAATTATGAAACCTGTCACACCATATAAGCTCAGTGGCATGTGTAGTGAGAGGAGGAGTGGAACTTGTTTTTTCATCTTCTCTCCTTTTCTCGTCTCTTTACGGGCAACTGTACTTCTTGCGTCCTGGCTGATTAAATTAAAGGTATGCGTTATGCACCATTTTATGCCATTAACCCCTTCATCAAGTATTTTTGATCAAATAAATGCAGCCTTGGTGAGCATAAGCAAACAGTTTCAAAAACATTAAAAAGAAAATCCTTGCAGACCCCAAATTTTCGAATGGTAGTGCACAAGTAGGCATTCAAAGAAGAGCATGTGTCATGGTGGTTATTTTTGTGTTTTTTGTTCTGAAACACACCTGGCAATTTGGAGGGCAGAACTTTAGAGTTTATTTATATATGTATATGCCCACAAATTACTAAAGCTGGGTTTTGCACTTAGAATGTTAAAAGGTAAATGTCAGAGCTGTGGCAGTAGTCTTGCTTGAGGAGAGATTGACATTTCCCGTCCCGCTTCCTTTCTCTTCTAGTCCTGTTGATTTAAAAAGTGACAGGAAAGCAAAAATAAAATACACAGGGTTGTTTAAAATTCAGAATATAGCTAGGCTAAAAATAAAATAGCTTGGTAAACTACCAAGATGCAATGCAAAATTTTCTCAGAAAGGTGTTATGAAATATGAAAATTGAGTAACACGTGAGTTTCAGTGCGTTTGTGTGTGGAATTTTTTTTTTCTTTTAATTTAAAATTAATCTTAATATTTTGCATGTGCCGTTGTTGAGTCAAGCGTATTACCCCTGTTCCACGTGAGTCAGTTAAAAGGATGGGCATGGACTCGTATATCATTGCTGAACGAAAAAAGAAAACATCCACACTTACTCTCACTCATCACTGGACCCTGTGGTGATGAAACCGAGCAGTCTGGTCTGTCTGCTTTAGTTCAGCAAGAAAGCAGAACAATGTGTCCCAGCTGGAAATAATACTGCCCTCTGCCAAAAGATCCATAGCTCAGAGCTGAGTCACACTCGCGTAATGCTGGCAGAGCTCTCTCTTTCTCTTTTTTTACTCTCCAAATACCAGTCTGATCCTACTGTCTGTGCGACCCTGCCCAGCCGGCAGAGTATTGGCTTTGGGTGGAATGGAAAGTACTTGGTATTAGTCATAATTTGTCCATGACATGTGCACTCTTTTATTTTTTGACAAGACACTCAGACCTTCAAAACCGACTGCCAAATCTGGTGGTCCTAATCGACCTGGGCAGGCATTGTTTATCCTCAGCATTTTGTCAATAACTACCTGTAGTGCAGAAGCTTCTCTCAGATTTCACAAGCACGTTTTGCCATTATTTCATACTACTTTTCCCTCCTTCACAGCTTACACACTCCGCTCTTCAGGGAGCACCATATGGCTGTCACCATCAAGACTCTATAAAAGTGAACAAATTGCCTGATCTGCACATTTGCTTTCACTATTAGCTTTTTTCCTCTTACAACAGTGCTTGCCCAAGCAAAGGAACTCCAATACCAAACAATTGCATCAAAATCCCACATTAACCTCACCCAGCAGAGGCAGTTCTGACCAGATTTCAGCATCAAGACTTCCTCTTGCGTTTAAACAATTTTTCCCATAAACAGGGGCTAATTTTAGCAGCACTGAGAGACCGGGAGGCTTCTGGTCTCTTCACATGAGCAGGAAGAGAAGAGTGAGCAATGAGAATGTCCTGAGGAGAAATGCTTGCTGACTCTTTTCGCTCGGGAACCAAGACACATGGTCATGATGATGCCAGACAAAAGCTTATATTAAGGCTAAAACTATTACGAAGATGAAAACTAGCGTGAGATAGGGCAGCATGTCAAAAACAAAATACTTAGATATTAGGAGCAGTTACATTTGAAATTGTTGACACCACATGAAACTGCAGTGCAAAAAAGGTGCAATTATGCCATACAAGATTGCTTCATGTAACCATCATTAAATAAAACGTTTGAATTTATTACATATTCAAATGCCTTGAACCACATAAACTTTACCGAATAATCAACAATTTGTCCTCTAGTGTGAGGCATCTGGAGCTTAGCAGATCCAGTTCATGCATGAAAATATTGCTGCATTTGATTTGTTGTATTTGATAAATTGACTATTAATGCAACATTAAAAGTAAACTGAAATTGAAAACTAAAACAATTTGTAACTGGTACAGATGCAATGTAAAGACTAAACGTTATTTCCACATAGTCCATTGTAACTAATCAATTTTTTTCTTCTAATCTAATTTAATCATGACCCTCCTTTTTAAATGAAGATGGTAATCAGCCTTAAATCAGTAAGAAACTCTGCTGGGAAAAATCAAGCTTCAGGAATGGGCCTGTTAGTAACTGTTATGTGTAAGTGTGACAGGGTGTGAAAGTGAGAGTGTAACCGGGGAAGCATGGGAAAAGAGGATGTAGCTGTAGTGGTGGTGGTGTTTTGTTTTTTGTTTTTTTTTAGTGAAGGGAGATTACAGCTGTGACCGTGTGAAATCTCACATTGAAGGTCCCCCAGTTCAGCTCTGTCAGCTGACGTGTTAATTTTGCTCATTGTAAATGTGAATGCATTTTTTACGCGAAAGCGTTTCTATGTGTGTTAGAGTGCTTGTTTTCATTGCATGCCTGTCACTGAAAAAAGTGTTGTTCTTTCCTTTCTGAGGTACAAAGATTAGTCATCCCTGAGCTTGTGAGAAGCCACAGGTGACTCACTTGTTTGTCAAGTGCAGTCACGGTGTGTTCTGTCATGTTGGGTTCTGCTTTCTGGAAAGGCAGAATGGCTCCCTGCCACAGATTAGATTTAATGACATAGACAAAAATATCAGAGGCATGTTTGCGCAGATACAAACACGACTCGCCTAACAACAGTTAGTTTCATTTTGATATCCATGTATAGTGTAAAAAAAGTATTTTTATGTATACACCCAAAGGCATATATGGCTTGTTTTTCACTAATCCAAACAGTAGGAATTAATTGAATATTGGACTGAATTAAATATCAGAGTCATATTAAAGTCATAACACTACAGAATTCAAGGGAAAATATTTTTGTTTTATATTATTTTGACTGCTGTTACCTTCCCCTCTAACCATCAGATCTGTATTTTAATTTGGAGAGAATGTATGGCTTTTCTTAAGAACAAGCTAAGTTATAATGTCATTTTGGTTGTTCTTTGATAACACTGGTGTTTTGTGTGCTGCAGGACCCATCGGATCACCATCACAAACTTTTGCCTTGGCAAGCATTTGGTGAGTGAGGAAGATCTGTTAAAGGACCAGCGAGGCAGTCCAGCCTACATCAGCCCAGATGTCCTGAGCGGTGAGAATTCAGCTTCTGCGTGTGTGTGTGTGTGTGTGTGTATGTTTATGTGTGTGATTCACATGACTCACCCTCCATGTCACCACTGTAATCAAAGCTCATAAACCCAACCACCTACACAGCCCTAATCAGGACAGCAGTCACAAACCGTCAGCATGGATGAGCAATAGATAGGTTTATTGAAGTCATTACTTGTGTTGTGTGCCACAAGACCTGACCTGTTAGCTCATCAACGACTCGATACCAAAACTCTTCCCTTAAGCTTGTCATGGCCTTGAGCAGATCTCAGCAGTGCGACGGATCAAATTATCAGCGGTTGTATTACAAGGTGTATCTTTCCAAACAATCTCTCTCTCTCTTTCTGTGCAGAATTGAAGTTCACTCAAGTGATGTACTTTCATTACATGGGACTAGCTGTTTATCTTGTGACAAACGTTTATATAGCAAGGTCCAGTTATCCCTACTGAACAGTCAACATGCAAAAATATTTTGACCTTTTTTGGTTTTCACAAACTTAAAAGTGGCTAGTCTGTATTATTTTTTAGAGATAAAAAAAATCACTGTGCTACAGTTGCTGTCCATAGAGATTAGCTTGTATTTTAACCTAAAATATTCCTTAATATATGATCAAATTATATTTATTAAAATTAATAATATTTATATTAACATTTATAATCCTTAATATAAAATAAATGGCTCATTGTCCCTCTCACATTGTAATTTATTAAAGGGGTCATTTTTATTTTGTACTGTTCTCTGAGGTCTGCTTATGTTATCAAGATTTTTACATCCAAAAATATCCTGATTTAGAAGTAATAGGCTATTTTCTGTCCTGTTTTTACGCCCTTCATCGGAATGTGATGAAGGACTAACGAGAAAGTTTTGAGTTCTGAAACTTGCAGGATGTTTTTATAGTGCAATGACCTCTTATCTGTCAAAAGATCAGGGAAATTTAGATTTCTCTGTTCATTACCTCTAATTAAAATGTAATGTAACTTTATGCCTCTCCTTAGATTTTTTGCATTGCAAAGCAATTAGGATTGTCATTAATGATGTATAAAGTATGTAAATGTATTTATATAGTTTAAAAAACCTGTGCATAAAGGCATCACGGGCTTCTGTCCGACACCAGGTCTATTCCAAAAAGTAGGTTGCCTTCTGACACGCTTAGTATTTTGCTTAATTCAAAGACACCATCACCTCAGTGAAAAATGTAAATGAAACGATGTGACGTTCATTTGTGTGAGTGTATAATTCATTCATTTAAAATGGCTATTTTATCCAAGTTTGTTTGTGTACTATGTGTTTGTCACATGAACTTTGTATGCAGAGTGCTATTTGTATGATACAAAGTTGAAGATCCCTGCTTTTAAATCTTGTTTGTTTAGTTGACTCACTAGCTAAAATATCAAACAACACTACCTTTCCAGAACTGTCTTTCATTTGTTTTCGGGGGTTTTCCAAGGCCTCTATGGATGGAGGCTCTGGTTAGATGGTGCATTCCGAGCATGCATGTTAAATAGAGGTGCAGTCGAGCTCTTGTTTGCGGTCTCCATTCACAGTAAAATGACAGAAAGAAACCGGGAGTAAATCAGCCGAATATGACAGCAGAACAAAGGGAGAGCTGCTTCAGTGAGTCATCACAATGAGTCATGCAGAGAGGAACTGCTCTTACTTCTCTCTCTCTCTCTCCCCCTCCCTCTCTCCCCCTCCCTCTCTCGCTCTTCCTCTCACTATTTTTCCATCACTCACTCTCTCTCGTCTCCCTCTCTTTCGCTTTCTCATGTGAAGGTTCGAAATAGATGCAGAGAAAATGTGTATCTTACAGAAAAATATATCATACGAATCACACTCTTTACCAAACAGAAACCTACCCAATTAACCCCTCTTTTAAAAGCTCCTGTGACTCATTTTGACTCTTCTGGCACATTGTGTTATGCCCATTTTTGGTGGTAAACAAAGCAGTATAGTGAGTGTGAACAGGTTTGGGGGACTTTAAAAGATTTTGACACTATTGGTAGCATATGTTTTATATGTACACTTTCATTCATTAGTTTGGGGTTGGTAAAATTTGATTAAAAGTGACAGAAAAGACATTTACATTTACATTGGCTGCTAAAATTTAGAAAATTTGCATGCTTTTGCATTGTTTTGGCATGCTTTTTAATTGTGCGTAAACGCATCTTTTGACATTTGTTGTTCCTCTTTAGTGTGTATAAGCCCCAAAGGTTAATCCAAAACGTATTACATGCAAGTGCATGAACGCAAATGCTTCTTGAAACATGCTTCGGTTTTCTCTTTTACAGTGGGGAAAAAAAGTATTTAGTCAGCCACCAATTGTGCAAGTTCTCCCACTTAAAAAGATGAGAGAGGCCTGTGATTTTCATCATAGGTATACCTCAACTATGAGAGACAAAATGAGAAAAAAAAATCCAGAAAATCACATTGTAGGATTTTTAAAGAATTTATTTGCAAATTATGGTGGAAAATAAGTATTTGTATTTATTTATTCTTTTATTTTAATTTTTTTTAAACAGGCAATCTGTGTCCTTGCTGAGTGGCCCTCTACAAGTGGTGCCGGACATAGATGATCAGCTTAACCACCCCGAACATCTTCAGGAGGTCAGTACCACTTCTAGGTGTTACAATAATATGAAAGTTTGAACGTGAAGGGCCTTTTTTATGAAACGTAAGCAGAATGAATATGTAAATCATTCTTTAAACTAGTGGTTTTAGTTTTACTTGGTGTGTGTGTGTGTGTATATACAGTTCTGTTAATATGATATATAGGGGGCATTTGAATGTTGTGTCGGACAGTGGAGACCTCAGAGTCAAAAAAAAAAAAAAGGTTTGAAAGCCAATGCTTAAACACTATTGTTGTGTAAAATGTTGCATTAAAATCATTGGGGCCAATTATGTATGACCTGACTTATTAACTTGTTCATGTTACTTGTATCTTATAAATATGGGCCAAAATATGTAATTCCTTTAGTGGCATTGAATCATGGACAATAATAGAAACTTCCTCTTCAAACTGCATTAACATGATGAGGTACTTTCTGGCACTGAATCAGTCTCTCATTGTCCCCCCAGGTGAAAGTGACAGAGGAGTCGTCTCAATATGAATTTGAGAACTACATGAGGCAACAGCTCTTGTTGGCGGAAGAGAAGAACACTATCCACGAGACCAAGAACTTCCTCAGCAAGAGGCATTTCGGTAACGTGCCTCCGGTGAGGCGCCTTGGCCACGATGCTCAGCCCATCAGTCCTCTGGATGCCGCAATACTGGCCCAGCGCTTCCTCCGGAAGTAGCACCGCCATTTTGCCCAGAGGCGGGGGTCACTGGGAGTGGAGCGAGCCATGGAACTGGGCGTACACTTTTATGTACGTTTGCGCGCGCGCGTGTGTGTGCGTGTGTGTGTGTGTGAGCATGCAGCGTGAGTCTGGCAGTCACAAACATGGGCCAAGGAACAGCTCAGCGCTCTGTTGCTCCATTCATCGGCCTAGGACACAAACTCTACCTATGGGCGGCACACAGGTCTAATGAGACTCTGACCACCAACATCATCTCCACCATGCCAATCCTTGTCCAAATCTGACACACACACACACTCTCACAGACACACACATTTTCTGCAATACCCCAACAGAATCATGTAGCAGATCACACACAACCACCCTTTTCCCATCCGCCTCTCCCCCAGCACTTTTTACAGGAACGCCTCGGATCACATGATCAACCCTTTTGTTCTGTTCCCCTCAACCAGTTCGTCTGTTCCGCTCCCATCTGTATCTATGACTGCAAATCTACCTCTTACCATTTTTTCTATCTCTCTATTTCCTCCTTTCTTAGTCAGTTTTTAACAACGCTCTCCGTTCTTATGAAAGCAGGACTAATTATGTTGAGGGGAAACGCACAGGCTCGAGCATTAGCATTGTGGTTGTGTAACTATTCTGTGTCAAAACCAGTGATTGGTTTTTCCTCACAATCTGAATAAGCTTCCCCCCCCCTCCTCTCCTACTAAAATTGTAGCATTTAAGTAAGATTATTCTCTTTTTTTTCTATTGAAGATGTTAAGTATCACAAGTTAGAAAGCTAAAAACCTCATATTACTGAAATCATAGCTCTCCATGGAATGTTTCTCCTTCCTCTATTTGCATGGGTTTCTGTTGGCAGCTAGCATCTGTGTCTGGATGCATAAAACCAAAAGCATAACTTGGCATCCAAACCGGTCGATATGGTACGTAATTTTCCCCTCTTGCTATCGGCCAATCAGTGAAAGCAGGACTAATTATGTTGAGGGGAAACGCACAGGCTCGAGCATTAGCATTGTGGTTGTGTAACTATTCTGTGTCAAAACCAGTGATTGGTTTTTCCTCACAATCTGAATAAGCTTCCCCCCCCCTCCTCTCCTACTAAAATTGTAGCATTTAAGTAAGATTATTCTCTTTTTTTTCTATTGAAGATGTTAAGTATCACAAGTTAGAAAGCTAAAAACCTCATATTACTGAAATCATAGCTCTCCATGGAATGTTTCTCCTTCCTCTATTTGCATGGGTTTCTGTTGGCAGCTAGCATCTGTGTCTGGATGCATACAACCAAAAGCATAACTTGGCATCCAAACCGGTCGATATGGTACGTTATTTTCCCCTCTTGCTATCGGCCAATCAGTAGGCAGCAGAAAGTGCAAGACCACCATTTCCTGTGTATTCGATCAAATGCAAATGTACATTTAATCATGTGATATGCCACTACAGCAGACTCTCGAGAGCGGAGCTAGGTGGTACTTGATTTTGGTGTGTGTCATGCAGGAACTCATCGCAGGGCTGTGCTTGTAAAAAGACAAGATACGGGACAGCTGGTGATGGGATGAAACTGTCAGGAAGCGGGGTGGCTGATCCGGCAGTCATGCGGAAGTCTAAGCCAAGAGAAGCCCTGTAAGCACAGCCCTTAAGCTCTCCTTTCCTTTTGTGTCCCCCCGTCTAGAGCGCTCACCCTCTGATAGCATGCCAAGTCATCAAAGTGCATCTTCTGCCATGTTCTGTATCTCCGGTGCTTTTGTTACCCACACAGATTTCAGCTGCAGCTCAGGGATCGAAGATTGGCCGCTAGGGAACATTTTTGGCCACAGTGATAAAAAGAAACCAATTGCATAGGGGATTGTTTCTTTTTGTTTTTGTTTTTATTCTCTTACCTACCGCTCATTTCAGGAAGGAAATGCCATGAAACTCACTCCTGCCAATCTGTTTCTTGTGTGAGAATATTGCAAGGAAACATTCTTAATGTCATTTGAATTTTCAGTCCTGTTTTAAGCTACCCCATGTGTATAAAGCATAACTGTGGGATATCTTGCCTTAGATTATCAACAGATTCTCAACTCAACCGTGAACAGTGAATATGTACTTTTGATGCTAGAATATATCTTAGTATAATAGGCTGTTGGCTTGCATCGACCTGTGGACCTGTGGCTTAGTTTGCAATGCCTTTATGTCTGGCTCCACTCATGTTATTAGATGAAAAGGTCATTCAGTACTGTAGATCTCTGAGCTCATGACTAGCAGCTTGGCTTGTCCTTTTAATCTCCACTTTAATTTCTTCTTTTGAAGACGTACAGCCTGTTAGTATATCTTTACCTTTCAGTTTTCATTTTAATTGATTTGCTGTTTCTAATTAATCTGCCATGGTAAATGTAGAGATCATGTATCACTCAAAAGCATTGCTGTGATCGCTCACGTTTTTTCTTCTATCTTCAGTGAAGGTTTTTGTTTTATTGGCTCTTTTTTCCCTCTTCTTTTTTTTTTTTTTTAAATTCTTGAATAATTATTGCAACAATCCTGTCGGTATATTAAGCTACACTAATTAGGAGACTGACTTTGCATAGCTCTATTTTAAGTCAACTAAATTATCCTGCACATTAGCATGACATGTAGAATCGATGTAGAGTTTATCTTGCTAGATAAGGATGATACAGCACTCTGGCCAGTGTGAAAGAAATCATAATGGTGAATAGGCATCAGTAGTGCAAAACCCAGTGCAGGAGTATTATTATTTTGAAGAATTGCACCAATGTTTCCACACAAGCCACCATTGAAAGCATTAGGTTTTTCCCAACTCAATGTGAATATATTTGGTTATAAAGCAGTATTGTAGTGGATAATATGCGTGATTTGATGGAGAGGGGCTTTTTGTGAGCAAATCAAAGTGCTTTCCTTGTATTCAAAAAGGAGTGCCTCAAGGCTATATCCTAGGTCCATGTAGAGTTCTCACCAAAGCCATTATATCATAGCAAATTTGTACAGTTGCAATATGGCTGCTATTGATGTGGTTGTGTAGTCTGTACCCAAAACCTAGATAAAAGAAATTAGTTAATTTTTTTCTGTTTAATATGCCCCCTACGCTAGTGACTGCAACCCCCCCCCCTTGCATGGACAGTTTCGTGATGTCCATATTCTGTCTGCAGCATGAAAAGTGTACTTTTTTAAACTCTGTATACCATTTCAAAGCAATTAGTGCATGATTCTAATTAGCAAGACGTGCCACAAGATGCAGCAGAAATTGGAGTGGATGCGGGTGTTTTGCAAATGATGAATACTCCAAAAAACACAAAGACCATGCAAGGGAAGATCCTGAAAGTTAAGTTTGACTTAGATTTTCTTTTCTTTTTAGGCCACTTTGTGCAGATATTTCATAAATTGGGAGATTTCTCTTTAGAATTGTTACTTTTTTGCATCTTTTACTAAAACTGGAAAATCTAAACCTGGTGTAAAACAAAACATGATGAAACTGGTCAAAAGCCTGAACATTTGATGCTGTAAGCTGCTCGGTTAGAACGGTGTCAAAGAAAAAAAAAAAAGGTAATTGTACAGAGATGAAAAACAAATTTGTATAAAAGACATATTTTTGTACTTCATCAAATCTCTACCTGCATGTCAGCAATAAACTTTGATATGGAAAATCTTTGTGCATCTTGTGTTTGAAGTGTGTAAGATTTTAATTAAAGTTTGTATTTAAAAGCACTTTTTTAAACAGTGCATCTATTTGATGATATCAGTATTAGACTTTGTTTCATTCAAATAATCCCTTTTTGAAAATCTATTTTAATTCTCAATAGTCCTTTAATTTAGATGAAGTTTTCAGTATGTAGATTTCTCTTTAGAATTGTTACTTTTTTGCATCTTTTACTAAAACTGGAAAATCTAAACCTGGTGTAAAACAAAACATGATGAAACTGGTCAAAAGCCTGAACATTTGATGCTGTAAGCTGCTCGGTTAGAACGGTGTCAAAGAAAAAAAAAAAAAAGGTAATTGTACAGAGATGAAAAACAAATTTGTATAAAAGACATATTTTTGTACTTCATCAAATCTCTACCTGCATGTCAGCAATAAACTTTGATATGGAAAATCTTTGTGTATCTTGTGTTTGAAGTGTGTAAGATTTTAATTAAAGTTTGTATTTAAAAGCACTTTTTTAAACAATGCATCTATTTGATGATATCAGTATTAGACTTTGTTTCATTCAAATAATCCCTTTTTGAAAATCTATTTTAATTCTCAATAGTCCTTTAATTTAGATGAAGTTTTCAGTATGTTTTTGAGTCTTCAAGCAGTTTGGTCTGCATTTTAGGCGCAGTTCTGCCCTCTTGTGGTAGATATGCAAAATTTTTTGCTGATGCTCAGACAAATTTGATCTCTCATCTCAGAATAAATGCAGTGGATTTATTTGGATGATGTGATAATGAGTGCAATTCCAAAGTGTTTTGTAATATCATCCTGACTAACCCTTAAGCTATAAACTTTTTTTCTTAAGCTTAAGACTCATTTATTAATTTGTATGCTAGTTTCATCAGTTACTCCTCAAGTATCAACAATTCCCCTTTTACAGAAGACTTTTACTCGAGCACTTTGTGTATTTGTGCTCATTAATCATCTGAATCTCTGTAGATGTTTGAGCTCAGAGGTTGCTTGTCATTATTCACCTCTCTCTCCTGAATTTAAGATGTCTTCAAGTTTGCCAGAATAAGCTTCAGTGTGAACCAAACTTTATTAATCAAGGCCTGGACATGTAGGACTAGTTTGAAGCAAATATTGTAAGTCCAACACATTCAAATACATCTCCCAAGAGTTGGAAAAACAACTTTAGCCCAATAGTTTACAAGCCACTTATCAGTTGAAAGCATATTTTGACTGGAATCACCCCTTTAACATATTCAACCCATGAGTCCTCTTATCGTTGAGCGATTTTCACCAGCCAAAACATTCACATGATGCACACAAGGCATCCATATGAGTTGTTGAACAAAACTGTGCTCACAAAGCAAATTCCTCAGCTGTTTGTTTTCATTTCACTGTGCCTGTCCCTAGTGTGCTCAAAACAGCACATGGGAGTTACATGCGAGATCTCCAGAGCACATTTTGGACATCCTTTATTGATGATCTGATTTCCTGTTAAAACATCCTCAAAATGCAATATGTGTTGGTCCTGTTCTTTTATAAGACTCTTGTAACTGTTGTAACAGTCTGCCTGGGATTAATGTAGCCCCTGGGGTTCAGCACTAGTTTTATGACTCAAAATCATCATTAAATGTGTGAACCGCTACGCCTCACAGCAATGGCCACATTAAAGACAGAAAACAGTGCAGGCTAACTCAAGACACTGGGGTTAAATTGGAGACATTTGTTGTGAATGCTTTGGTGGGGGTTGTGAAGCTGTTGTGTACTACAGACATTAAAGTTTCCAGTCTTATGATAACCATTCTAGTCTTATAAAGCTCAATTGGTAGTGGTTCACGTTTAATTTTATTTGGTTACATTTTGGTTTCATGTTTTAATTTATTTTAATATAATCATATATATAAATTTATATTAAATTGATATTTGTTTATTTTTTAATTATATATATATATATATATATATGTGTGTGTGTGTGTGTGTGTGTGTGTGTGTGGGCAGATTTTTAAAGCATATTTCAAAAATTTATTGTATTGACAATCACAATGTATGAGATATTTGAAAAAGAACTGATCAAAATTAGGGAACACTTACAGATACATACACGTTGGTGTTATTCTGGCACCTGGTGCTAATTTCCTTAATTATATGACAACCCCTATTTAACTGGCAGCATTCCTCTAATTTTCACTGAGATTGCAAGATGGCGGGCTGCTCTAAGGTGACTAAATTGATATTTTTTTATTTTTTATTTAT